TATCCACTGAGCCAAACCAGCTAGGGCCTCAAATTGTATTTCAGCTCCAGACCTAGATAAGCAACAAAACCGGCCATAGCCAGGACCAGCTGCATGGAACAATGACTCCCTTCTCTGGTGTAAGCCAATCAATCATTGGAGACCACACCCTGAATGGACACATCTGGAAAACTGCTGAATATTCTACTGAGATCTTTTCCTGGTACCTCCCTTAAAATCTCCACCCTTAAACCCGTAGGAAGGAGGGCCCAGAGCGCTTTCCCTCCCTGGAGCATGCCCTTGCCTTTCCCTTCCCTTCCTACTCCCCCTCCCGCTCCTAGCCCCAGGCATGTTACCATTAGCTTCCTCAATCCCAAACTCCAAGGGCCCTTCCTTTACCTCTAGAACTTGTTTCCTAAACCCATTTCTTCTAGAAACTACTTCTCCTACCTCCATAATTTACCCAATAACTGTTCTCTTACAGTTTGGGTCTTGCTCTGAATTCTTTCTTAGCCAGAACCTAAGTACTAAGGTTGCTGAACCCAGGTTTGGTCTGACCCCACAGGTCAGACACCTGGTGCCTTCCCTGCCTACAACACATTGATATAGCCAATAGTGGGGTGAAGGCCTGGGGGCAAAGGGGTGAGAGAGGAGCTCAATGGGGGAAAAGTAGGGGGCATCTGTAATACTTTCAACAGTAAAGATTTTTTTTAAAAAAAGAATGAATAAGAAATGTGTTTCATGCCGAAACCGGTTTGGCTCAGTGGATAGAGCGTTGGCCTGCGGACTGAAAGGTCCCAGGTTCGATTCCGGTCAAGGGCATGTACCTGGGTTGCGGGCACATCCCCAGTAGGAGATGTGCAGGAGGCAGCTGATTGATGTCTCTCTCTCATCGATGTTTCTAACTCTCTATCTCTCTCCCATCCTCTCTGTAAAAAAAGCAATAAAATATATTAAAAAAAAAAAAAGAAATGAGTTTCATGACAAAAGTTCTAACTATAAAAGAATGAAAATTGTTAAGAAAAAATACCTGAATATGTATTTGATACATGATATAATTGACTCAAAGTATAAAGAAGAAAATTGCCAAGTTTATCTGACAATCTAATTACATTGAAATCATTTAATATATTCTCTCAATAAAATAGACTATTTATTAGCATTCAACATCTTCAAAAACATTAATAAAAAAGTTCTATGAAACAACTATAGAAGTATTCATTAAAAAAAATGCATGTGCTTTTAAGTATATACAATCAAACATAACAACCCATATTGAGGAAGTACATTCAATCCTTTGAGATTTTGCTTCCCAGCATTGACAGTTTGGCTCAAATAAACTCACAAAAATTCCCTATAGGTTTGAATGAGATAATGCTTCAGATAATGGCAGTTTTGCACCTTATTTTAGACTTTACACTCAAAACAGAAGACGTGAGTTACCAGGTAACTGTTACCTGAAAGCCATTGGTGATAGATTAGGGAGATGGGAGAAAGCAAAGTGGATGAAAAGTAAAATGGTAGATACACACACTTTTATGTAGGTGGGTACAGGATAGTTAACAGTCAGCAATTAACATGACAACACTAAGGATGAGAGGAAGTATGGTCTCCACCCAAGGACATTAGTTGTGCCCTGAGGGACCTGGAAAAAGGGGAGTTACCCTGACATTGCAAAGGTCTGTTATCATTGTTGCAAAAGACAACAGACAGGCTTAGTTAAGGTAAAGATGGATTTAGTCAGGGAAGATTCTAGCCTAGGACATGACTACCTGGCATAAACTATAATTTAAAAGTTTTCGTTTTAGACCATCCTTTGTGGTTACTTTAGGTCTCTGAGTGTGCAAGGGAGCGTGCAGGCAGCAGGCCTTCCCTGAGTTTGTCAGGGTAGCATGTGGCCCCTTTCCATCCACTCCACCTAAAGCCAGGGGAGAGGGGGGGAGGGCGAGGGGGGAAGGGAAGGGGAGGATGATACAGGCAAAAACGAACTAAAGTAAATTTCCTTCTAGAGTAAAATATGTACCTAATTCATGAACACATCTCATAGTAATTAGACTGAGGAGAGTCCTTTCGACCAGGCCAGGACTTCCCGCCAGAACCCAGAGGTCTGGGATTCTTTCTCTTAAGGACAGAATGGCTGGGGGCGAGGAAGGGATGGTTGGAAAGTGTCAAGGCTGGGACTCAGCAAAGATTGCAATGGAGCCAGACTCTATGGAAGATGGCCCGGTCACATTTCATTGTCTGTGTTTCTAAACAAGGGTCAACAGTTTCATAAGTGGACTCCAACTCTTACGTGACCCCCTCGAGGCATAAGACCCTCTCATTCCAGCATGGCCAGGCCTGCTGAGTCACCCTCAGGTTCTTGGAAATTCAATCCGAAATTTCCTGGGCCCAGTGTTCGCAAAGAGCTGAGCACAGCCAGCCCACACCCAGGAAAAGGGTCTATTTGAATGCAAATAGACCAGGCGCGGTAAGGTTTGGCTGAGTTCAGGGTAGTCTGGCTGATCCTCCCGCCTATTGTCACTCAGACGCGAGGGGGCGGGGTCTAGGGGAAGTACCCAATCAAGGATGCCGCTGGGACGGGTGGGTGGGGTGAGGCGCCGAGGGGCGTGTCCGTGCTTTCCGGCTCCGAGCCTTGCGGGGGTTGGCGAATCCTCTCGTCCAAAACAGTCCCCGGTGGCTCGGCCGCACCCCTTGTGCCATCTGCACCGGTCGTGGGGCTCGTAGGAAGGACTCAGGGAGACCCCGGACACCCCGAAATGGTGAGTGTGCGGGGGCCGGATCAGGAGACCCGGCCGAGGGGCTGGTGGAATCATGGGCGGCACGGCCTCCCCTCGGTCAAGTACGGAGTCTTCCGACCCGAGCCCCCCGGGCGCGCCGCTAAGACCTCCGTCCC